AAAATACAAAGGAATTAAAATGAGAATTCAAATTTTTTTGGCCTTGTGAGGTGAAGTTCAAATATATATGCTTCATCCTCCTTAGATTTTAATTCTGAGTCTTGATGGAGTTGGATTCTTTGAAGAGCTGTAACCTAAAGACTATCTCTGACTGGACTAGGCACCAGAAGTTGCATCAATTCAATGTCACATCTCTCAAGAAACTCACTTTTACAAAAAGAAGGTAATAGCAAAGAGGATACTGCCACAACAACAATCCATGTGCATGAAATTTAGAAAACAAACTGTTTTAGACCCCAAAATAGTTATCCCTAACTAAAATTTTACTAGCCCAAATCCAACCCCTGAGGAATCACAAACTGAGGTAGAGATTCAGTGGTTTCAGCTGCAGAAAGGTAGAGAAAACAGTCTGTCTGGGAGCTGTGACCTGTGAACATAAAATGATTTTGGAAAAATCTCTCAGAAATCTGGGGGATGATTTTGGCCAGATTATACTATTATATTGTATGTATGTACAAGTATATAACAACAAATCCCACTATATATATAACTACAATACACCAATAAAATATATGGAAGAAAGATAAGTTTTATGTGATAAATTTATCTTATTTGAAGGAAAAACACCAGTTCATTCTATTTGTTTTTTGCAGAAAATGGCATTTGAGAAATTGTTCCCTTCTTGTAAAGTTCAGGAGTTTTCATTGATAGTAATGCTAGTCCTTAACTTTATATTTGGGTACATTTCTTACCTTTGACTTTTCATTTCTTTTGGCATCTGACTACTGAATTAAATGGTATAATCTCTCGTTTTAAAACAACCAGACTCTCACCGGCTATTTCTGCATTGCCAAAAAATTTTAACTTGCTAAAGAACTAATTACATCTAAGAAACCTGAATCTATGGAGGGAATCCTCCAAGTAGAGCCAATCTGACCATCTACTAGGAATGATTCTGAGGTGAACACATGAGTCTGAGGTGGGATACACCACAATTTCCCCTTGATAACGAGCATGGAATGGACTTTGGAGCAGCAGACAGAATGCTGCTTACCCCAAATCAGCACAAGCTCCTCAGTACACTGACTGGTACACACACAATTTAGTTACAATGTGTTGAAGACACAGTAGATATTACTGTACCTTAGATGGTTACATCCTTGTTTTGGCTTCCCCTTCTGCAATGGACCCCTTGGCCCATCCTTTTTGATTGGCTTATGACCTTCACTTGTGGATCAAGCTGCAGGAGGATTAATGCTAACTTCATCCTTAAGACCAATCTACCACTCAGCTCAGGCCAATCACGTGGCTCCCCTGCCCTTTATGAAGCCTCCTGCTCACATAACTTTGCTGAACTCCTTGCTTCTTGGATTCAAGTCCTCCTCGGGAAGACTTGTTTCTGTGAACAAATAAACTGTCAACAATCTTGCAGACTTGACCAGAACAGTTAAAAGCCAATTGTGACACTGTGTGGCCCATTCAAAAACTCACACTGTTTCATGTATTGTAAGTCGAGGTCCTAAACACACATTCTACCTTAACAGATTTTCCCCTTGTTATTTTATTATCCAAATAAACAGTTTTGCTTATTTCCAAAACTTTAACCCATTGTGATCCTTGAATGGAATCTATTCCTTAAACTTAGGTTAAGAAAATTGATTTCTATTACAGGACACATAGTAAATATTTTAGGATTTGTAGGACAAGTAGAAAAATCAAGGATATTGGATAAGTACTTAGATAATATAAATATTTTAAATATTAAGAACCATTCTTATCTCTGATGTGCATAAAAATAACCTGGATTTGGCCTAGCGCTATGATTTTCTCTCACCTGCCCTAAAACACAATATCCTAAATGATCTAAAATTCCTTTGACATGCTTTTTTAAATACCAATCAGAAAATATACTAAATCTCCCTTTAAAATATTCAGTTATCATTTGTTCTTCTAGATACCCATCATCTATTTCCAATTGCATTATTTCTCCTACTTTAGTCACAGATTTAAATTACAAATAAGACCTTTGTAAATTTAAAGTTCCAACTTCTTTCATCCTTGATACCCTAAACAAAAGCACTCAAAGTGAGAGATGCAACAATGTGGATAGTAAACCCTGCAGTGAGAGATTAGGAATTGCTCTAGCCCTTTATCATGAGAAATATTACTATATGGAAAACTCCTTAATTTAAATAATAGGACATTTTTAAATGGTGAAGATTTAAAATTAAGAGACAAGTGTATAATAATAGAAAAGATCTTTTTAATGTAGGATAGACTTTGATATTTAAATTTTCTCTCTTTGGTCTGAAACACCAGCCCTCAGCCTTAATCTCCATCCATCCAAGAGCTCCCAGGCTTTTTCTGGGGGCTACAATTTTTACCTTGCACACTTTCTTTTCTTCATTGTATACTCTCAGATCTATTTCCTTAAATGTGAAATTGTTAACTCTGACTATAAATTTAGGAGACAGGTGTTTTTTATTGTATTAATGAGGCTAACTCCACTTTTTTGATATTTGCCTGATAACAGTTTCTATGTCCTAACCTTGTTTTTCTCTGGTGTTCTCCCACTTCTGGGCAAACTAATAAGAAAGCCTAGTGCTCCCTCTTTTTTCCTGTTTTTTATTAACATATTAATCATACACATCACTGGGTCCTCTGTGCCATTTCCACTCCTACGCACAATGTGCACCCTTCTTCCACCGTTGCCATCACCGCCCCCTTCCCAGACCCTAGGAATCACTATTCTATTTAGTGGTTGACTTTCTTTTTCATTTTTTTAGTTTCCACATATGAGCCAGAGCTTCCTATTTTAGTACAGGTGGGGAAATTCAAATCACAAAAATCTTTCCCTTCTTGCCACCCCAGTAAAAGCCCAAGCCATTTGCTTCTCTCTTCACTCAAGCTATTTGGGACATGTTTGAGTGCCTGCCTTGCTCCCCAGAAGCCTCACATGTAATAAACCTTTTAAACCTTTTTAATATGTGTGTGATGTCATCATTCTCAACATGGAGCCACCTTTGTATGGTGGCACTGGAACTTAACTTGCTGTCCATATGGCAACAGGAGCTATGCATTAGTTTACTAAAATGCTGGCAGCCCACTCCAAGTCCCCTTGTTCACAGTTCTGTTTATTCATTTTCTAAGTTAGAATTTGACATTTCTTCTGTATTCCTACCTAAAGCTCTATTTGGTTCACTGAGTTCTTGTGGGTTGTTGGTTTGTTTGTTTTTTGGCCAAAGAAAAGTAAACTTCATTAGGTTGAGGTTACATGTTGGACTTGAATGAGTCTGGAGGGGCATACTGTTCCACTGCTCCCCAAATTCCCACAGAACTCTACCAATTCACCCACACCACGACCTCTACCTGTATTTAGACACACAATTCCCACCTTCTAGCTAGAGGCTAATGAACACCATATAATTTACCTATTGCTATAATCATTTTGTCTAGAAGTAGGGGAACTTTAATGTAATTTCACACTATGATCCCACTACATGTTACATCCCCATCGTCATAGGAAATTTTTCATCATTTCTTTTACATCTCATTTGACTCCATGTATTGTATTAGAATACTCATCTCTCACACTTTTCTATCAGGTGACTACAAGGATCATTTACACCTAGCTGGCCCACAATCTTAATCATGCCATAGTGCCTGTGTCTACCAAGCTGCCCAAAATAAATGGTTTAATTGATTGGAAGCAAGGAGAAGCAACTTCGTCCTTTTATTCCTTACTAAACCCATTCCATTGATGATTTATGCTCAATATTCTAGCTTTTCCAGTTTATCTTGAATAATGAATCATAATATTCCCATTCAATTGTCTTATTATTCCAAACTCAGCTCACCTGTTCCAGCCTGCTTCAAGCTCAGAACCCTGAACTGGGAAGAACTGTGAAAAAGACCAAGTTATGCCTCTTTAAAATACACCATTTTGCATAAAGATTCCTTTTAATTGAAAGCAATCAAGAATCAACAGATGAAGAGTGAATTCTCTGCCTTCCTCTAATTTTCCCAAAAGCAGAGAATAAATTTCCCTTTGTGAAGTTACCTCTCCTACTCCATATTTTTTCCCCATACCAGGAAGAGGACAGCAACTCTTATTACCAAAGACAGAATTGATACTGAGCTGAGAAACATAATACTGATGGCATAATACCAAAACAAGAAAAATGACATTGCACAATGAGTGCTTACAGTCCTAGGCCATTTTGTCACATGTGGAGGGCTCAGGTACCCACAACTGAAAGCAAGATACAGAAAAATTTCCCTAATGTTACCCCACATACACACCTCATTCCCTCTGCTACACCTATGATCTATTACTCATCTCTATAATTTTGTCCTGTTGGGAACTGCACAGTATATGCCCTTTTGAGAATGGCTTGTTTTACTCACAGAACTTCCTTGAGATCCACTGAAGTTGTTGTGTTTGTCACTATTTTGTTACATTTCAGTGTTGAGTAGCATCCTATGCTATGAGTATGTCATTGTTAATTTGATTAACAATACATTTATTGAGGAACATTTTAGTTTTTTCCAGTTTGGGATGACTACAAATTAAATTGCTATATCCATTCCTGTACAATTTTTGTATTGACCTAAATTTTTATTTCTTTGTACCCACAAGTGTGATTGTACACAATAGCTCTCACATCTAAGTTATTGGGCTATAACGTGAATTGACGAAAAAAAAATCATTCTCGTGGACTCAAATTCTCAAAAGAAGAACCTTGGATGATATACATTTCTAAGCCAATTAACTATGGCCAAAGGCTAAGACTATATTTAACAAACATGGACATAACTGTATATGTTGGAACAGAGAGGAAGTTTCCAGAAAAGTGGGAATTAAACATAGGGCAGCTCTAAAGATGCTATTATAGCTAACATTAGCAGAGAATGATTTCACAGGTCCAGATATTTTGCTCAATATTATTCATCTCATTTGATGTTCAGAATAATGTTATGAAGTAATTACAAATATTTACCCTTTTTGCAAATTAGAAAATGCATAATCCACAGTGCCAGAGTAGGGACTTGTATCCTTCTGTTTTACTCCAGAGTCTCAGATCTTAATCATCTTGTTACACTACCTGCAAGCAAGGGAGTAAATGATTTAATTTTTATGAATTAAACTAATATATTTTAAAAAGTCACATACACACGTGCACTTACACAGATAAAAAGGAGAAAATGTACCTATGCTTACCATAAGATAAATTTATATAAAGAGCAGTGGCATTCTAAATAGATGCCAATCAATTCTCCCTGGCTTGCACTGGAAGAAATTAGATATTTATTCATTTCATAAATATTTTTCAGTTCCTACAGAGCTACCGCTTCTAAGTTATATAAAAATAAATTGGATATGAATAGGAGAGATGCATCAAACCCATAACTATAATGATGGTGGAGGGTGCCATAATCAGGATAAGGCGCTATGAATGTAGAGTAGGGTAAAATTACCTCGGGAAAGAGATCAGGGAGAGTTTTTATAAAGAAGAGGCATTTTAGTTGAACCATACAGACATAAAGTATAAATATTCATATAGAAATGGTGTTGTGACCATTGCCTCACTTATTTGAGGAAACCTTAAGCACCAGCTACTAAAGTGGAAATTAAAATATGCTTATTTTCCTGCTTTTTTAAAACAGGCTTTCTTTCTTTCTTTTTTTTTTCCAGGGGTGGTGGGGGGGACAGGCTTTTATGTTACAAACAGTTCTTCCAAAAGACTTAAGCACCTGTACAGAGCACCTTCAGATTCCACAGCATAAGGGATTAGAAAGGGAGTACAACAGTTAGATATGATGATGATGATGATGATGATGATGATGATGATGATATATTAATAACAAAGAGGCTGTTCTCCAGAAATTGTGTTTAGATGCCACAGTAATCCAAGCTTCTGTTAACACTAGAAAAAGATGAATGGCTCAGAAACAATATTTTAATCTCCACATAGCTCTTTGTCACAGAATGGAACTTGACTTTAAAGTGTTTCCTAGTTTTTTTTTTTTTCCTATATTCTGTTTTTTTCCTGGATCCTGAATTTTGGATTCATCTTATATGCACTTCCCTGTTTCTTTTCTCCTACTTCTCATTCTTTCTCATGCAGTTCCTATTTCTCTTTTTTCTTCCCCATTCTATTTTTCTCTCTTTTTATCTTCTAACTCATCATAACTCATTATACTGATTCCCTGGGCTGGTGATAAAATAATGATCTACCAGTCTTTGGATCACTACAAAGAATGCAAAGAGACAAAATAAAGCACTTTCTAAAGATCTGAATATACTGCCAAATTCAACTTGAAACGTAACATCAGCTCTATAAAATGTTAATTTAGATGAAAAAGACAAAAGAAAGCTAAAAGTATTTAACTTCCCCCTATATCTCAAAAAAAGCTAAGTTTTATTTTTATATAGCATGAGAATATCTGTTCTATAACAAACCATTATCCTACTGCCTCTAGATACCAATCCTCAGATAAGATTACACAGTGATGATAAATATATAATTTAATCCTAAATTGTATGTTTGTTCTATGCCATTTTCTTAGCATGTGTTCTTGAAGTTAACTACATGTTTTTTTTTTTTTAAATACAAAGAACCTTTGCTAAAGTAAAAGGGCTATTGCAACCATTTTATTCACAGAAAATTTCAAGGCCAATCTTGTTCAAATCAAGTAATCTTAATGGGAGCTATCAGTCAAATGCCATTAGCAAGGTTTTATCTTTTTGTTTTATAATGAAGTATATTATGATTGGTGTTGAACACAGGTAGAAAATTCAGAGTTTAATGTAATTTATTTTAAAAGTGAACTAAAATGTGAAATAATCCAAACAATCAGGGGCTATGGATCCAAATTCCAACATTATCGTTATCTAACTCAGTGGCCTTATCATTGGCTAATTAACCCATTTTAAACATGGCACATCTTTTGCTTTCAGTAGGGGTGAGTGAGAGCAAGGAATGGAGTCTGGGGGAAAAGGGGTCAAGATCACCAAAGTTTTCAAACTACTCACACACCTTCCATGTCTTCCCCATTTCTCAGACACAGACACACATGTCCATTTTGCAGGTGCCCACCTCAGATTCTGACATATGCCCTAAGGCATCTGAATCTCAGACTGAGAGATGAGGAAGAGAAAAGGGGGTGAAAGGGCAGATGGACAGGCATGTGCCAGTTTGCAACACTCCCCCAAGACAGGCTGATAGGCCGTGCCCCTTGTTGTCCTTCCCCAGTGTCAACCACTAAGGTCAATGGTCTTGAAGGTTTTCCTCTCCAATTTCTAATAAGTAATGTCTATGAAGCAAAGAACCTAACACAGTATTTGTTCTACATATTATGGTTATATAAACTTTAAAAGTGAAATTTTTGAATTGCAACAGTTTCTTGGGCTACAAAGAGCTTTTAAAGCTCATTCAAGTTAATTTTTTTTCTTTAAAAACCAATCAACATGTTTTCTCTTCACCACATATATTTGATTTCAGTTCAACACAAATCACCTGCTTAGAGACAGAAGACTAAGGGCCCCATGAGCTGTGTAGTTTTGTGGTTGGTCACTGCACAATTTCAGAAGGCTTTATTCATGTAATACCCCGATTTGCATCTTGCATACCCTGCACATCTGTGTGTGAATTGATAATATTTACATTTTTCCCCTTTTTAAAACTTTTTACTCCATGTTATAAATTTGAGACTTTTTAATTTCATTTAACAAATGTTCATGATGAAAATAACCAAAATATCATAATATGTGAAATGAAAAGTCAAAGTCCTTGGCCAAGCCATTCCCAATTTCTCTTCTCCTGAGTTATGCTTATTTAAAAAATGAGAGCCATCCTCCAAAATTGTGTGTGTATGTATGTGTGTGTGTGTATGTATGTGTGTCTGTGTGTCCACGTGCGTGTGCTCGCTCACGTGTACATATGCATATGTTTTATGTGTGTGTATACATATTTCACAATTTTATGTAATGTGTTATTATGAAAAGAATGTATTGACCACAGAATACTTGAAAACACAGAAAAACCCTAGACCTTACCATTTTATAAGTATAATCTCCTCTTTTTCTTCTAATACACTTATTATACAGATTTATTCTCAATAACTTCAGGAAATAGCTTGATCTTGGCAATTATGATCTGCACTTCTGGCCATTATGGCCAACTGTCCACAAGAACAAATGAATTTGATTGCTGTGAATTTACAGCTCATTCAACAATTACTGAGACTTAGGGTATCCATAATGATTGGAGCGTCCCAGTAAGTCCAATCAACCAGTAAATCATGCCACCCTTGAAAAACAAGGCAAATGAAGGTAAGAGTCAATATCAAAGATATTACTGGGCAATGGCAGAAGGGCTAGCACTTTCAGGTTAGAATAAAGTGATGAAATGCATTTGAGTCCATGTGTCCTATATATTTAGGGAGGGGGAGAGAAAGAGGATCTCCATTTTTTGTGGGGAACAGAGAAAGAGGATTCTCTTTATACTTCTCATGCTTAATAGTTTCATTTGGCTAACCCAATAAAAGAACCTTCATATTGCATTTGCTTTGAAAGCTCCAAATGCAATCTTTTTTGAAATGTCCTAGGGTTGAGCAAACTAGATTTGCTGTGTGGTAGGCATTATTAAAAGCTGTGTTCAAAACAAGGCTTTTGGTTACCTCCTAACTAACTTCTCCTCCCACCAATCTTCACATCTCAGGAAACAGGCTAAGATGCTAACGCCATAAATTTAGTAGTCACCCATGGTTCCTTTTGTTCTCTCATCTACTACTGTTATGGGCAATGACCAAATAGACTCCATTTTACTCTGAGACTCCATATCATGTAAGAAATGCTTCTTGCATGGGAAAGCCCCGCCTCTGAACCCATTAATAGTTACCTAGCACAGCACAATTGGCAACAGAAAATAGCAATTCTTATATAATGTAAAATTCTTCTCTTTGGTTTCCATTTTTCTTGGGCAATGTACCTTGTCAGAGAGATTGATTGTCTAGACATTAGTAACCATTCTCTAACTTGTACTGATTTAGGGTCATTTTGACCCACTTCCCTTCTGTTTGCTTGCTGCTGTGCCAATCTGGAAAGTCCCCTGGGAAATACCAATGTACCCATTACATTGTCTTGCTAACTGCCCAATTCAGCTTCTGTACCTACTTGCTTGCAGCTCCTCAACCTGGATGTGGTTTTTGCAGTTTTTGCCTTTAAATATCCTAAAATGCTCAGGCTCAGGGCTGTTGCAGCCAGTGACTGCCCCCTGCAGGACCATAACTGTAGTGTTGCGGGGCAGGTAGCTCAGAAAACACACCAAGTCTCAGTTTTGTCCAAATGCAAGACACTACATCTCGCCCATCAGCAAATCCTATCAGCTCTTCCTTAAGAATTTATCTAGAATTGTCCACTTTTCTCCATCTACACAAACACCTTTCCTAGCACAATCCAGCATTATCTCCAGCCAGGAAAATCTTCCTAGCTGGCTCCATGTCTCTACACGTACTCATTCCTAACCCATTCTCCACACATTGCCAGAATGTTCTTTTTAAGAATTAAGTAGTGAGTGTTTCTCTCCTTCAAAGAAAAAAAAAATGGTAACTTGCATCTTAAGGTTGAAGTAAGAGATCTTCAAGGATTTAAAGAAACAGATTAAAAACAGGTATATTATGTAGGCTTCAGATGACTATGGAGACATGCTTACTTGAAGAGGCTTCCTGGAGTAATAACTGACTTGTTATTCATACACACCCTGTAGGCAGTTATTCCTATAATGTGATCAGACAATTACAAAAGGTGACATAAAATTTGTCCTTGGCTTGACCTGAAGTGACCATTGTCATCACTTTGGCCCTAGGAGACATTCAGGTCAGCCTTAATTCATGACCAGGGTAGTCATGGATGAGGGAATTGCCTTCTACTCCTTCCTTGAAGGACAAAATAGTCTGTAAAATCACAAATATTTCTCCTATATTTGGATTAATGCCTAGAGCCAAGCATATAAAGTTAACACAGAAGCTTAAAAAAAAGAACCACCTGACTTTCCACAACATACCCTCTCGATTACATGGTTTATTCAGTTGGTTATGTCCA